AAGCAACCTCCAAAAACCTGCATCTCAGAAGGGCTGAAACATGAAGGCATTGGTTAGTGTAAATGAAAAGAATATATATATATATATATATATCTTCATTATCGATCTTGGAACTTGTTATAACTATATATACCAGAGCTTTGATTATGGTGAGATATTTTGACATGGTGTTGGTGCCCATGGTAATGTTTTGGAGCTCATTTTTTATCGGATTACTCAAAATCTGTTGACATATTGAAATCTCCTTTCAAATGTAGCCCATATGGCTAAGGTATTTTGTGAATGTAGGTCATAAATTTTATCGACGTGGATAAGGTTGTGGATATGGTTGAGCATATGATTGCAGCAAGGTTCTGATCTATAAGTTGTCATTAGGTATAGTCTAGATTTTCTTCCTGTGTTTTAGTTTCATTTGATTTAAATTTTGGTGGGAATGTGATTGTGATGTCTAGGAATGTGTCAAATCTATTAACTGCAAAGAGTTTGAGAGTTTGACCTTTTCATATAAGATAATTCTCATATGTAAGTGGTAAGGCTGCTAATATTTCAATATGAGACAAAAAATTTGAGAGGTATTGATATGTTTATCTCCTACATGCAATTGAGACGTGGTAGATTGATGGTTGATTTGTGGTGATGCCGAAGAAGTGAAATCCATGATCCTTGTTGTTAGGTTGCAGCTCTGATGCAATGAAGACGTTTGAAGAAGAAGAACGAAGTGGGAAATGAAGCCTAAAGAAAGCAAAGTGTTTCAATAATATTTCATATTCATTTAATATATGTATACTGCCTTTCCTCATTACAAGATATGCTCTTTATATGGATGTTGTATAGAGGCTATTTGGTCATTACATTGGTAATTGTTTAGCGTCTAAATTGCTTGGCTTGTTACAATATTAATGACCTAATCCTTTCGGTTGCCTTAAAAACTACAAACCTGACTGTCAGTCGAGCTCCTCGGTGGTCCATAGTGGGGTGTGTTGTAATAACTGTAAGTTATAAATAATAAATAAATAAATAATATTATTAATAATATTTGAATAGTGTATCCCAAAGGTTTCGTCTTTAGGAGTCAAAGAAGTTATCATTTTATTCGAACAGACTAGAAGAGAGAGAGAGAGAGAGAGAGAGCAGTGAGATCAAGAGTGGGAGACTGTGAGAAGAAAAAGTTGTGTGTCGTAGTCGATCAATATAGGAGAAGAAGAGGGAAAAAGAGGAAAGAGGAAGGGAGAAATTTACCACTTATGTGGGTAGGAGGCTTTGACTCTTGCGTTGTCGAAAGAGGAAACCCTAGCCAAGGGAAGAGGAAGAACCGTGACTTCGAGGAGGAGCCTCGAGTGTGACGTCATTATTGTGTTGAAACCAAGCCAAAGGAAGGAGGGGTGAAATCGGCTCGTCGTGCACTGTTGAAGTCAAGCGCTCGAAAGAAAGGGAGGTGGCTTCATGCGCAACAACTGTGCAAAGGAGTAAAGGTAGAGGAACTCCTGCCCTACTAGAGGAGAATAAGCATGCATGCGAGATAAGGGGATACCGAACCAAGCCAAGTAAAATTAAGGTGAGTTATCTACTACTTTTTAAGTTTAGATCCAAGCAAATTTTAGTAAGGTAAATTTGGGCTTATATTATAGCGTAATTAATGAATTATATATATATAAAGTTTTATTATTTAAGAGTTTATAATAAGTATGTTTGAAAGCAGAAAATACATGAGGTAAGGGAGATACAATTTCAAGATCGAAATGGTGAATTACTTTGAAAAATAAGATATATTTTAGTTAAAGTTAAAGTTTAATTTACTTAATTTAAAATTAATATTTAATAAAATATTAATTTATAATAGCAATTAAGATTGAAGAATATTTAGACCTAGAAGATCTGAAGATAGGGAGCCACTAATTTGAGTAATTACTTTCTTATATAGATTAAATAGATGTTTTATATGATAAAATCTTGTCTAAATGCTTCAGACAACAATTTTATCATTATATCAATGTTGTCTGTATGTTGTAAGCTTAAGAATTATTGAAATGAATAAAATTTAATGAAATGAAAAAAGAGAACAATTACTCAATGTCTTTAAAATGAAGTAATTTAAAGAAAATAAAATATAAAAGCTTAAGTCATTCAGGATTACCCCTAGATTGTACTAACAAGAGATGTGATGTATCTCTGCACAAAAAAATTATATAAAAATTATTAAGGTATATCTTCGGTACATTTTGAGGATACATTCGAGTATAATAGTAATCTTGATATGACTTCTTAAAGATGTTAAAAACAAGTAAATTCTTAAATTGAAATGAGAATGGTTAAATTCAAAAAACTGAAAGTTTACAGCTTGATTTATCAAAAAAAATCATTTTCTTGGGAAATTCATGTGTAGTATTTGCATATTAATTTAATGTATAAAAAAGATTGTAATTTCTCACTAAGTGATGGAAACTTACTATTGAATTTAATTATTTCTTTCAAAAAAAACTATAAATTGATATGTCTGTAATGAGAAATTTAGTTTACAGAAAGTAGGGGTGTAAACGAGCCGAACAAGAGCGAGCCATGCTCAGCCCGTGGTCCGCTCCGTTTTTATATGGGCTCCCAAAGTGTGTTCGTGTTCTGCTCGTTTGCTTAGCGAGCCGAACACGAGCCGTTCACGAACAAAGAATCTTTTTGACAACCCTAATCAGGTAGCCATAAGATGTTAAGGATTATGGTAAGATTTAAAAATTATTATTTATAGTAAAACATTATTTGAATCTAATACAATAATTTTTATTCTATCTTCTTAATTAATACTATAATTTATTATAAATCTTTATAGCCTTGTAGTAATTAAGTTTTTTTAAAAATACTACTCATCAAAGATATATATATATATATATAATTGATTAGTAGTATTTCGAGCCAAAACGAGCCGAACACGAGCGAAAAAATATTTGTTCGTGTTGTTCGTGTTGTTCGTGTTCGGCTCGTTAACTTAACGAAACAGCCAAACACAAACATTAGCTTCTAAGCGAGCCGAACATGAATTGTTCGCGAACAACGAGCCTTTTTGACAGCCCTAACAGAAAGAAGACTGTTGCTAATAGGTATTAGGTTGTGTGTTCTGATTTTAGTTATTGTATTATTTATTTCAAAGCGATAATATACTGTTGTGTGTTAATTTGAGATGTTTTAATTAAAGACAATGGTGTTAATTTTCGATGATTTGATTTATGTGCAATGCATTTCTTGGTTTCTAAGTAACTCTTTTATAAATTGAAAGTTATGAAAGTATGTGAAAAGTAAATGAAATGTTAATATCGTCCGACAGCAGTTCCTAACTTAGTTAATGCTAAGCTGTCAAACCAGGTCATGACATATACTCCTTTAATACTATTATAATAAACCATTTTTAATAAGCTTAAATAAAAACCAGACCAACATGAACCAATATATTGAGCCAATTTCAAAACAATGCCAATCTCATTCTTGGTCTAATATGTTTAGACATGTTTAAATGAGAAATTTACATATATACCACCCAATTCCAATGCATTTACATATCTAACACATAAATTTTGTTTTCTACATTTATACCACTCAAATCATTCATATCATATAAAAAATACCACCATTTTAACTTTTAGAAAGTGACATACACCTTTTCATATATAGTTAAGGTGGCATGCACGTAAAAATTGATGTTCAGGGGTCAGATATGTAAATACATAGGAATTAAGTAGCACGTATGTAAATCTTTAATCAATTTTCACCCTTGAAAAACAAGCTAACATTTTCTAGCATGGCTTGCAAGTCACAAATAATAACTGAAAAACTACCTACCGCGTCAAGCTATAATGCCAAGCACAATACATTGTTCACTATAATCATGTCCAACTATGCAAATGTGATCCCAAATAATATGACCAAAATAACTCAACATTCCCGTATCCATAGATGTAACTTGAAGGAACCCATCTACAATATTATTTTGGAAGATTACATAAATACCATTGAGTTCCTATGTATTTACATGACTAACACCTAAGCTTCATTTTTTACATACATACCGCCTTAGTAATGAATATTGTGTGATAGAAAAGTACGGCTTGGACTTAAAGAAAAATTTTTAAAGATGGTGGTGAGACCTACAATGCTTTATGGCACAGAATTTTGATCAATAAAAGAGAAGAAAAAAACTAAGTTAAGTGTTACTATGATGCGAATGCATAGATGGAAGAATGGCTTTACACTTAGAGACAAAATATGAAACAAATATATTTGTGAAAGGGTTGGTTTAGCTTCAGTGGTAGATAAGATTAGAGAAAGTCATCTTTAATGATTTGGCCACATTAAACATCGATCACTGAAGATCAAGTTAGGAGAGTAGATGTTTTAAATTTAACTTATGTTAACAAAGGTAGAGGTAGACCTAAAAAAGGTAGAGGTAGACCTAAAAAAACCTAGGCATGTTGTATAAAAAATGATAATTTATTAGAATTAAATGAAAATCTAACAATCAATATGACACAATGGAGAAAAAGTATTTATGTAGCCGACCACACTTAGTGAGATAAAGGCTTGTTGATGTGATTATATGGAGCCTTAATTATGCTTGAAAAGGTGTATTTTGTCTTTTTAAAGTTAAACAGTGGCATTTTTTATGTGATGTGAAAGATTTGGGTGGTATGAGTGTAAAAAACAAAATTTAGGTGTTAGATATGTAAGTTCACAAGAATTGAGTAGTATTCAAAATTCAATGTCGATGCAAGGATCACCCTTAAAATTCTCAATTAATTCTAGGTTAACAAGAGGTGAACGATACTGAGAAATATCCTCAAAAAATCATTATACACGAAAAAGAAACTGCCGTTAAGTGTTCTTCTCATATTGAAATCAGTAAAATTCCATTCGTTCAGTCATACAAAAGAAAATTTCAATGTAGAAGCCAGTTTCAAAGTTGAAGCAGACCTAAATTCTAATTAGAAAGAGAAAACAATCTGTGGCGAGAAAGCAAAGACCTGAACAACGGCAGCGGAACCGAAGTTGAGGGCGGAATAAGAGATCCCGTAGAGAAAGGCGATGTCAGGTGATATGTCGGACTCGATTCGCTGCCGCAACCACTCAAAGCACGGCATCGCATCGCCGGACATTAGGAATTTCGAGGGAAAAGAAATCGCCGAAGCCCGGAGCTACGGAGTCTGAGAAGCTGCTTCAGGCTTCAACTAAAGAAAAATCGAGAGTGATGCGATTTTTATAGGGAAGATTTACATATATACCCCTCAACTCCTATGAATCAAAATAATCATAAGATTTACATATACCCCTCAGTTCTTCATATATTTTTTTAATTTCAAAATTAAAGTACTGAACTTGTAAATTTATATTTGAGAATTTAAAGAAGACAAAAGTATGACAGTCAAAAAAACTCATTGTTTGCAAATAGTTCGTGTTTAGTTCGTCAAATAGTTCGTGTTCGATTCGTTCGAGAAGTAAACGAGATCAACGTGAACAATTTTTTTTTTCATTCGGTTAGTTAAACGAACCAAACACGAACAGTGATACGTTCATTTGTGTTTGAATCGTTATTGTTCGAAATATAAAATAATTTAAATTAATTATATATAAATAATTTATGATATTTTAAAAAATTAAATTTTATAAATTATAATATATAATAAATTAATAATAATAATAATATATTAATATGCTATATTAGTAATATACTAATATAGATATTATATATTTATATAATATAAGTTATATAATTAATATAATATATTATTTATATATATTAATATTAGAGATGTCAAACTGGCTCGTCGCTCGTGTTTCGCTCATTTGTTAAGAAACGAACACGAACAATATATTCATGAACAATTTCGAACACGAGCTCATTTTAAGTAAACTAAATTTCAAACGAACCGAACACGAACAGAAGCTCTGTTCGTTCGTGTTCGGCTCATTTGCACCCCTAGACAAAAGTAAGAATTCAAATTTTATTAATATTCAGGGGATAATATTTTAAATATAAATTTTCTCATGATATTATATTTTAAGTATATTTAATCCAATCACTCAAAATAAATTGCAAGTCAATAAAATAAAATGGAATATTTATGCAACTAACAAAAAAATTGTGTTTATTTACAAAAACAGCACTAATATTTTAAACCCTGAACTCCTTTTTTTTTTTTTTGGCATATCATGATCAAATTGTTGGAAATTCAACAAAAACAAAAATAAGTCATATGATTGTTGTGATTTTCAATATTTAAATGAGAGTTTAGAAATTAGAAGGGAAGAGTGCTAATTTTATAAATATTTACAATTTAAGTGTTGTCTATAAAATTGTCCCAAATAATTAACTCAATTGTTGGATCTGAATTTATAACCATTAATGAAGAAGTAGAAAATTTGGATAAATATTGAGAGATTTAAATATATAGCAAATATTCTTATTGCATTGCATATCTAACACCTAAAGAGAAATTTACATGCATACCACAAGATTGTTAGTATTTACACATATAACACCTACATTCTGATATTTACATTTATGACATATCAGTCTTAGAAACTTTTGCAAGTAGAGGTGTCTTTTACTTTTAGAAAATTTGTGGTAGTGATTTTTTTAAATTGTTATATAAAAAATTTGAATGTTATGTATGTAAATAATAAAATTTTAAGGGTTAGAAAAGTAAATATTTAGGAATTGTGGGGTATGTATGTAGATGTGGTCGTTTAGAGTCACTTGGTGAAAACTAAGCTTGGTAGAATGGATTATAAAATGGGGTTTTAATTGAGCTATAAAATGGTGTTTTTTTATAGAACATTTGAAATGTGCAATAAATCTGGATCATGCCACCAATAAGAAAATAAGCACAAGAAGAAGAAACTCATCAATAAGACTCAGTAAACATGGAGTGTAATAGAGAATTTGTGCAACAGCAGATTCAAGAGCTAAAAGCTCCGATGTTAGAGGCCAACAGAAAAGTGATAGCTAGAAGAAAGGAACCAAATCCTCAACAAGAACTGACACCTAAAGGTCTGAGAGCATTATTGGTCGAGGAAAGAGCAAAAGATCCCTAGTACCAGGAAAGTATTGGATCCTCGTTGATGCATATGGAATCCTCCCGCCAACCGAAGAATGAGCTCTCCCTACTGATTTCTACCTTTGAAACCCCCCAAGAAGTTTAAAGTTTTGTCGCTCGACTTTTACAAAGATCGGTCTGATCCGACTGATACATCGCATTATTCGAGTCGACCGTTTGCTTGTTGAGCATCACTTACGCTTTGAAAGTGCTACCTCTTCTGCACCATGCTGAGAGAGTCAGCCCTCGGGTGGTTTAATAGGTTGTCTACCAGGGTAATCACTTTTTTTACTGAATTTAATAGAATGTTCGTGGTGTAAGTCGATAGTGCGTAGATGTCGTAGAAGAATTTATAGAGCATGTGTCAGGTTAAACAAGGGCAGAACGATAGCTTGAGCATCTACATAACTCAATTCCAAAAGAAGACGTTGGAGGTGAGTGATTTGGAATTCGTAGTAGCACGTGCAACATTAAGGGGGGAGCAATTTTTATATGCTCTAGGCTTGGCTGAGTTGCTGGAGATGGCCAACAACCATATTACAATCGAGGAATATATCAATGGCCCCACCTACGATAAAGCCAAATGATTCATCGCATAATCAGTCCTTGCAAAACAATGGATAGCTCCCAAAGGATGGCTAAAGTCCTCCCAGTTGTCTTCGACATGCAGATAGTCAGCCTCCCCGTGACAACATAAGGTACGACATGAGTCATCAGTGTGGTGGTTAGTCAAGGTATGCTGACTAGCGAGCATCTCGCTATCATGAGCGGCCAACAAACGAGCACGGGGCACCAAGGGCTATACCCATAAGAGTATCGATGTCAAAGTTAGTGGATGTTATCCAAGATAAAGACCACTTCAACATAATGCCCCCAATGCAGGTCGAAGCTTTTCTCTGAGACCCCAAGAAGTATTGTGCATACGACCAAGACCATGACCATGATCATGATATAGAGGAGCGCATGCACCTCCAAAGCCTGGTCGAGAAACTAATCAAAGCTAGAAAGCTCAAGGAATTTGTGGCGCCTAGAGTAGCAATATAGAGGCAAGGGAAGGCATCAGTAGAAGAAATCCTGAATGAACCAGTGCCAGCAAAAAACATAACACATTCTTAGGTTTGTACCAACATTTTTTAGAGGAGTCGAAGAACCATCTAAATGAGTAAATCAAAAGAGGCTCCGATCAGAGAAGCTTTGGGCAACCACGTTTGCTCCAAAGCGCATCATCCATCCATCAATAACATTCACCAATGTTGACCTGCACCATAAGAAAAACTCGTACACTAACGTCACTATCGTGATGGCGATGTGTTTTCATTCTTTTTTTTGTAACTTTTAGAGTCGTCGTCTTATATTATCTTCATCATATAATTTTATTTTCAAATAAGTCTCTCTTTTGAATCATGAAGGTGATTCAAATAAGAGAGGAACTAGAAATAAAGAAAATGAAAAAATTAGGCAAAAAATTAAAAAAGAACGTGGAGAACTTTCATAAAGTAATCTTCGCGCAATAGCTCAAGAATGTAAATCAGAAATGAGATCGGATCGAAGAGACTTGAAGGCGTATCAGCAAAGAAAACCACATGAAAGCAACCCATTACCAAATAATCAAGTTTTTGTGTTTATTATTGATCAAGAGCAGCTCTCAAAAAAACGTATTCATTTGATTAATTACATCTTAGGGGATGCCAAAAAATGCTCTCGATAAAAAGGGTCTAGCTTACAATATTTATGATATCTCGTTATTTAGGAAAACAATAGATTTTTATCATATCAAGAGGGAGAATATCGATGCTTTTGACCATAGGGTAGAGGGTGAATCACCTTATCCACTATGGGTGACAAAACCGAGGCATGCAGGTCCCACGAGACGATATCAACGATCATTTTAAGAGGATGATAGGGCTCAAAAGTGGTGCCAACTGGAATAAGAGAAACCCCTAAGCAATTAGATGTTGTTAGGTCAAGATACCATGCATCTGTCATATTAAGCTATGGAGACCCTAAGTCTACCTAGTTGTGACGATAGTCGACCCAACCCGATCAGGGACCCCTTATCAGCAACCCATGAATTGTGTCATTCAAGGAATTCCCAATAGCCTTAATGTTTTTGGTGTTTTCTAAAGAAACTTGGAGTGGCCAGCTTGTCTATTTATATGTCAATGTATTATTTTCTTCTTCAAATAAATCCCACTCATGAATCATATAAAAGATTTGAAGATGAGAGGAATCGAAAAGAATGATAAAAGATTTGAATATGAGAGGAATCGAAAAGAATGATATAAGATAACAAATAAGCAAAAAAATTTAAAAATAAATATGGAAGACTTATGTATAAGTAACTCTCATGTGATTGGTTAAGAGTATGGTCAGAAAAAGATCGGTTCGAAATACTTCAAAACACGGTATCCACAAAGAAACTTTTTACATAATCCACCCATAACCAAAAAATAAAAAAAAAACAGTTTTGTTGTTAAGAGCCTCCCAAAGAAACATATGTATTTGGTTAATTGCATCTTGGGGAATGCCCAAGAATACTCTGGATAAAAGGATTTTCGTTTATATTTTCATAATCTGGTGAAACACCAAATGATGGTTATTTGATATGAGAATCCCTTAATACTTTCAAAGCTCTCATTGAGCCACATGACAAAGAGTGAGTCCCTCACATCCTAAATGGGTAGCGGCTTATCGACATATGGAACCTACAAAATAATCAAATCGTCTTAACGAGGATATCCCCATACTTTAAAGCTCATCGAGTCGTAAATGCAGAGGGTGAATTAATGATCCCAAAAGGGCGGCAGCTCATCAATAATCGGGTTATCAAAACTATACCAATGAAGACACAAAAGGATGACATGACTCAAAATAGCTCAACAAAGGAAGGATAGAGTGATCTTAATAGGTAGAGGTAGTCATGTCAGAATACCATGGATCCATCATTCCAAGCTACTTGGTCGTGAAGGTGGTCGACCAACACGGCCAGAGATCCCCGGTCAACAATCCTTGAATTGCATCGTTTGCGGAGATCTTGATAGGCTTTAGGTCAAAGGAACAAAACTCTATTCCATGACTATTAAGTGGAGCTCCAAGTGGTGGGACTTATACCCGCCGAAGTGGCGAGG